GGTGAAAGCCGATCCGGCGATCCACAGCGCGAAGTTGATGTATTTCCTCAGCGACCAGCACGGATCAGCTCTAGGCATGACGAAGCGGATATCGTCCTCTTTTGGAAGGCCAAACAAAGTAGTTTCGCTTTCACAACTAAACACACAGCATCTCCACAACATGGCGCCGGCGGCAACAACAATACTACAGCGAGAATAAAAGTTACGCCTTCTTTCTTTGCGTGAACATTTGGGCGGCGTTATGCAAATCTTCCCACACAGTGACGTAGACATGTGGGGACGTGTTTAAACGAGCCGTTTTAGGAGGGCGTGGACAAGTCTTAACTTTTATAAAGAATATCTCTTTGGATTTGAGACTTTAGTCTTTGCAACTTTACAGATCTTCTTTATGCATCAAGAGCTTGTAACACTCTAAAAAGAAAGGAAAAATTGAAATCGCATCATATGACCCCTTTAAGTATCTACAGGGTAAGCACAATAACTCCTGGGAAATTCTATACTAAATAAATATACTAAACTGATGTCTTAAAAGCATGCCTACTTAATCAGTGTTACTAAGCACCTTATTTATCAGTAAATTATTGTGTGTTGCACTTATTGTGTGTTACACTTTCACTGCATCTATGTGTGTTACCTCTGTTATAGCGGACTCCCAGTGTGATCGCACAGCCAAACAGAGCTAGAAGTGAAGCGAGAAGCAGTCCGGCCAACACTACTTCCAGTTGAGTCCTCCTGCCCAGTGGACCAAACAGCTGAATACCACCCTTACGGAATCCCACCTAAAACAGAGTCAAATATTGATCATAAAGTCCTTTTAAGTTGTTACTATTTGCTGGTACTCATCCTAAACTATGTAGACAAAAAGGTATTAAAAGGATGTTTGGATGTTGGATGTTTTTATGGTGACACTTTAGATTACAACCCGCAAAGAACTACGTAAGTATACTGAATTTACAGTGTACGTTTCTGTAATTATAGTGTACCTATTCAGTACCTCCTTGTAGGTATAAGGGAATAATATGTAAAATTACAAATTATTTCTACTGTAACTATTTTGAAACTAAGGGGGTACCTATTCTTATATTACGTGGTATGTATGACCTAACAACAATCTTATATTTGCAAGCGATTTAGCAAAAACATACACTGCACTTTTTTATAACCTACACATATAAAACACGCTGGTAATTGTTTCAATCCAAACGCTCGGTTGAGACTGTAGGGTTAGGAAGCTGGCTTGATTTGACCCAATTTGGGTTGATATCAGTAATAAGTAACCCGACGGTGCTGGGTTATGAATGTGGAGGACGTGAATGAGAGCATGCAGCAAGTCACACGAGTTCAAACGTGAACGGTTCTGTGTGCGACGAAATCCGTGACTGCAGTGCTTAAGACGGGAACATAGGATAGAACTAATCAAAGTATGTATAAACAATCATTTCAGAGCAATTGTTGTAGCCACTTACCCTGTAACTACATGGAACAAGGGGGGAACAAGCACCACTTTAATTTACAGCCCACAAATGTTGTATTTACACTGTAACTACATGGAACAAGGGAGGAACAAGTTGGACTTAAACACAGAACAAGTTTATATTTGCACAGTAATTACAGAGAAAAATATTGCACTAGTTTTAATTTAATTGT